TCCGTGACACTATTTGTAATGCTTTTCAAAGAGATGCTTGTGCTGCGAGGTGTGTTGACATACACACTTGAGGTCAAGTGTCTTCAATGTATACAACTCACAGATCGCTCCTTGTGTTGTTCGAACCTGCAAACCTTCCAACATGGAACTTTAACCACTACACCACCAATGTAAATACTCTTTATGTGGCACAATTCAGCTTATGCTTCCATTAGAAAACAAAAAAAGAGAGAAATCAATTGCAACAAGGTGGATGCAGTTCGAGTTTAGTCAATAGAGGTGAAATAATATTGAGACTTTGGAAAATAACTGGAAGGTCTTGATTACGTCGTCTTTTTTTACCCTTTGCACCATTTTCTCTCTTTTCCCATCACTGTCAGCCAACAGGTGCCAGAATGCCAAAGATATCTATCATGTTATTCCTGCATTTGCATGGTCAACATCAAATGTTTCATTAACTGTGGATAAGCCGCTTTGGTACGAGTTGTACGTCAGCGTCTAAGCCACAGAAAACATGTGGATGAAAGTGTTTAATTCACTTGAACTGGAAAAGCACCTGAAAGCACACTAGGCCGCAGGAGCAGAAAATAAAACTCACTCTCCAGTTTAGCAGCTGAGGTTGTCACGTTATGCACTGTTTTCCGCGGTCTCAGAGCTGCTATAACATCAACATTTTTATATAGCATGACCAATGCATGTGCCAAACAAGAAGCAAATGAATAAAATAGTTTGTCATCACACTTACAGTAAATAGAACCCAGGCAATTAAAATAAATCCTGAAGGTTACATTAAAATAATTAAACTTTTTTCAGTTGCCTGCCATCACCCTAAATGAGACTCATTCAGCTATTCATTCAAAAATTCTTATTGTTAGCTTTAGCACCAGAAAATAAGGTCCTGATTAAATAAATATAATATAAGATATAGTTATATTATATATTTAAACATTATAAACTACCATTCACTCTCTCTACTGTCGTATCTATAAAAATGCATAAAAAACCCATAAAAAAAAGAAGAGGAAAAAAAACTACCATTCAAAAGTTTGGGGTTGGTAAGATGTTTTTTTTTTTTATGTTTTTGAAAAAAGTATCCTAATGTTCACAATGACCAAGGCTACATTTATTTGTTCAAAAATATAGTAAAACCAGAAATATTGCATATTATTAAAGTTTTAATATATGTAATATGTGTTGAAAACAGTTGTGCTGCTTAATATTTTTGGCTCAAACTTTTTTAAAACCTAAAAAAAATTGGTTGAATAGAAAGTTCTAAAGAACAGTATTTATTTGAAATAGAAAATCTTTTGTGACATTTTGTGACAAGTCTTTACTGTCACTTTTGATCAATTTAAGGGATGCTTGATAATTAAAAGTATTCTTTTTTTTATTTTCTTTTTTTTTTAATCTAGGCCCACCTAACTTTTAAACGGAAGTGTATAACTACATGAGTTTTGGTTTAGCACTTACATTTTACAATATTAAAAATATTACACCACTAGTGAATGCAATACAAATATAAAAAGCTTTGAACTACTATCATGTCAGCAAACTTTATAGATGTGATAAATAAAGATTAGGAGTTTGGGTATATTGTATATTAACATGCTTATTGTTTTTAGTTAAAGTAAGGTTGGATGTTTTTCCACGCCACAGCATACCAATGGAGGTCTAATCCAGACGCTTGTTCTGTAATCACTACGCCATGATAACATTCCATCTGGGGCTCAACTCCAACTCGACAACTCCAAGACAAGACTGTAGCAATTACAGGACAAGAAGTCTGACTTGTGATGCATTTCCAGCTGAGGTGCTATAGCAGCCATTACCACTGGTCAGTTTTCTCCCTCAGGTTATCTGCGGTCATGGAGGAGTTTGAAGAGACTTCTGAAGAAGTTCATTAAGGTCGACATGTTTACAGCCAGCTACCTCAATAACACTTCAGTACAGATGTTTCTCACTGCCACAGAACACAAACATTACATGTTAACTATGTACAGTGGGACCATGCACTTGCAGAGCCAAGCAAATCTCTGAATGCAATGCAAGTCATTTGGGAAATTTTTGACTCAAATGGTGAAATGCATTAATGTAAAGCAGTGCTTCACAAACCCTGGACTGGCTTTGCTTCAGGACCAAGATTTTACATGGAAATCATGTTGCAACACAACATGAACCAAAACTGTTTACTGCAAAAAAGTACAAAAAAAAAAAAAAAAAAATCTAATTTAAGATATAGGTATTAATATTACCATGAACATGGTAAAATGTATCAAATTAAATATAATATAAAAATAATACATTCAAAATAATAATGTAAAAAGTTAATTATATAAAATATGAAAAAAATATTTTTAAAATTCGATAAAAAAAAATCTAAATATCTTATATATCTATTTTAATATTTTAAAAAATACATTTATTTATTTATTTTACATTAAAAAACTTTTTAAAAAAATGTGTGTTAACTGAAACAAAGCACAATGAAAAAAATGTTTCTTTCATCCAATTAAAACATTTTAGGGTATTGATTCACATCTATATTTTTTAACTTGAGCCAATGAAAAATAAATAACTTGCCCTAAGTTATTTATTTTTCATTGGCTCAAGTTAAAAAATATACATGTGAATCATTACCCTAAATTTTTTTAATTGGATGAATGAAACAGTTTTTTCAGTGCAGAAATAAAATAAAATAAAACTTAAACTGAAATAAAATGAAAATTATAAAATGTTGCCTTGGCAACTAACAGATAAGTTTAAGTTGTAGTAGTAAATCTACTAAAAATGACTACAAATATAAAAATACTACATTTAAAATAAAAAAAATAAAGCTCAATAAAAATCTAAATAAATAAAAAATAATAAAAATGAAATAACTAAACTAAACTAAAATGAAAACTGAAAATATAAAAAGTAAAGCTCAATAACAAAACAAAAAAAAATGACAGTGACAAAAAATATATAAACGGAGTAATGATGCTGAAAATTCAGCTTTGATCAATTAAATTACATTTTGAGATGTATTTAAAATAGAAAACTATTTTAAGCTATAGTAATATTTCACAATATTAATGTTTGAATGTATCTTTTAATCAAATAAATGTAGCCTCTGTGAGCATAAGAGACTTCTTTCAAAACACTTTTGCCCAGTAGTGTGTGTGTGTGTGTGTGTGTGTGTATGTATATATATATATATATATATATATATCCATCCTGCTGTCCTTGTGTAAGCTGAACTATTTGCTATTCATCACTAAAGCCGTGTTTACCCACTAACACAGAGAAAGATGGCGAGAGGATAGAGCTCAGGCTCCATGTTTACATTCCTCCTCCTCCTCCTCCTTCTCTTCTTCATGCATGCTTCCTTGTTACTGACACTTCAGTAAATCATTACACAGACTTTACAATACAGCATGTGTGCACTGCCTGCTCGAACCTGATCACTACCCCCTCGAAAACAAGAGAATCCTGACATACTGAACAACAGGCATGCACAGGAAGTCAAAGCTAACTTGATTTGAAGAGCTCTGAATGCAAACACACCCCACATACTGTCAGGACCTGACTCCCAGACCCAAACAGCGAGGCGGGAGGCGCTCCAGTCAATATTTACTCCATCTGAAGGGACCGGGTCAAGGATTGCCATGGAAGTGACCATTGGAATTCCAGGAGCGTCTGAGCAGATGAACGGGAAGGCAAGGGTCTTTGAGAGAGGTCGAAGGATCACGGCAAACAACCAGACGATCAGATAAGAACTCAGACTGCCTGTCTGGACGGGCTGCTTTTCAGCACAGGGTGATACTGGGTCGGTATTACTGCTCCCTTGACGAATCACAACACAAATGAATCGCCTGTCTACAGCTAGTCTCAGCCTCAGACGTCATGTTCACGGACTGTTGGCTAAACGTCTGATGCATATGGCACACAAAAGTGGAAACACTTCAGGAGTTTCAAAGTCGTCGTCGGATTGGTTGAATTATTGTGTCGCATTCTTTAACGTTCCGCCTGGAAACAAAGATGCCGTTGTCATGAGAAATCGAGTCCCCCCTCGAAATCGGGTCCGCTTAGGACCCTGAGTGATCCCATTGGCTCCACAAACGTTTAATGGGTATTATTTTTAGCGCCTGATTACAATTCCTGCAAAATCGCGCTTTGATTTATGTCGTTTGAACTTTGTTATAATGACCATTAATGTCTTTTAAATTACATGTTTCATACGCTAGTATCTGAAGCTATAGGTTGTGAAATCAAACATTTCTCGTTTTTATTTATTTTTTTTTTTTGTTAGCTCACGTACTAGCATAGCATACAGCTACCTGATTAGCCTGCTAGGTTAGCTTATACACCACGCATTTGCACTTACCATACATATATTCACAACGAAATAGTAACATAAGTGTTGACTTTTGATCAGGCATTTAAAACAGCTACCGCCTTGGTCCTAAGCGGACCCGATTTCGAGGGGGGACTCAATTTCTCATGACACCGTGACGCCAAACCCCCTCACGAAAGAAGAAAGCCGTCGTGTTTACAACTGTGACGACGAGCGCTTATTAGGATCAACTAACCGCTGGATTTTCAAAAGTATGTGAAATATTTAAAGTTTGCGCCACAGAATCTTTAAAATACTTCCGAGAGTTTTACACACTGGTTTGTTGTTGTGGCGACATTTCCACGCCCCGAAATGTGACGATGAACGAAACTAACTGTGATTGGTTGTTTGACATGTCGGTCAAACGGCCTCATGGGCGGTATTGGCCAATGAAAGCTGCTATGGATTCCAGACCTCCAGCCGTCAGTCTGAAGCTCTGGCTACGTGAGACTAGTCTACAGCTAGTGGCTTTGTATAACATCTGTGTGAAAATCAGTCCACATACACTGAGCCATGGAGCTCATATGGGAGGTAAGGGATCAAATCCGGCCAATTTTGTTTAATTAAACGTACAGATGCACGATATATCAGGACCAGAAATTAAATTATGTAATCATTTACTCACCATAATTTCATTCCAAACCCGTCTTTGTTCTGTAGAATGTGTTGTCTAACTTTCAAAATATTTTCTTTTGTGTACTGCAGAAGAAAGAATGTAAAAGGGTGTGTAAATGACAGAAATTGTATTTTTTAGCTGAATTATGCCTTTCAAATTTAATCTTTTAATAACAATAATAATTTAATAACTTAAATGTTATAATGTAATCTTTAGCAATCTTCAAAATTAATATCAATTTTTATTTAAAAACTGTATATTATAATGCCTAAATCAGTGTTATTGGTAAAAAAAACAAAAAACAAACTGAAAATATAGATTCTGTTCACTGAAATAAAGCAGAAATAAAATAAAACATAAATATTAGATGAAACATTTTATACAAAACCTATGTGCTGCCTTGGCAACTAACTGAAATAAATTATAGTTTAGGTTGAAGTACTAAAATTACAAAAAATAAAATAAAATAAATGAATTACAACAGAAATATATATAAATACAAATAAAATACTAATAAAAATGACAATTAATAAAAACAAAAAAACCATAATTAAAATGAAACCTGAAAATATAAAAAGTGTAACTAAAGAGAAATATATATATATATAACAATTAAAAATAATAAAATTACAAATAATATGAATGCAATAAAATTAATATAACTAAAAACTAGAAAAATAAACTGAAAGCTAAAAAATATGTTGATGATATATTAATAAATACCATGATAGTATATATAATAATACTAAAATAACACTGGTCTAAATTCACTTGTAGCATTTTAAAGTGATTGATTGACAAAATAGTATCAAATTTTAATATTTGATATTTCAATAAACAGCCATCTACCGGTTCCTGACCATAATCTGAAAATAATCAGTATCAGCCAGAATTTTTATATTGTGCATCCTAATAAAATGCTGTAAAGGTAAAAAATAACTAGTTTTATTCATTTTCCAAATAATATGTTATAATAATAACTATGGGTGCTTGCCCATAAAAAAGCTTGCTGCTACTTACCAAATTGCAAAAGTAATGACTGTTTTCATACACGTTTCCTAAATCTGTATCATGTATCATCTTATTTACGTACACCTATCATAGTTCACATCAGTCCACATTAAGCTGGGACACGAGAAAGTACTTAAACATGAAAAAAACTACATGCTTCAAAAGCAATAGTGATGCCTCTAAAATAACATTTCTAAAAACCTGTTCACCCCTTAATTGGCTGCCAACACACATGAAATCATTTACGGCTGAACGGAAGATATCTGGGCCGCCCGCTGTGCGGAGCGGAAGCTTCTCTCTTGAGCGTGTCTGTAATCAGCCACGTGCGTCAGATCAAGTGTGCGGCTTATATTTTACACGCTGAAGCTAGCGCGCTCCGACAGCATGTATTAATACATTTGCAAGTAAATGAATCAGAGTTTCTGTCGCTCATTTCCTTACTATATCACATCCGAACGTGTTCTGTCCTGCCCAAAACCTAAAGCAACTGTATTAAATCAACAGGGGATGCCATTACTTACACCCAAACAGATAAGTATTAATTGCATTTGAATTGCTTTCACATGCAAACAGACTTAAATATTACAGATACTAAACTGATATGTGTAACGGTGTATGACATTTTAATAGGACATTTGAATGATTTTATTTGTTACAACAGATGCAATGAAGTCATATGTCAGTAATTGCATTTCACTTAATGCCACCAAGCAGTGAATATTTTATGCACAAGCACAAAGTACTGCGACTGTAACATTTTGCTTTTGGTTTACAATGTGATCATGTCGTCACCTGCCATCACCGGTTTATTTCAATCTTAAAATGGCATATGTGGAATAAAGAAACTGGGAGTGTCTCTTATTTTCCTCTGCTGAACTTGGCACACCTTGTATTCGCAAACCTTTCATTTGAACTGATGTTATTCACTCGAATAGCATGTATTTCCAGTGCTAAAAGCTACAAAACAAAGCCTGTTTCCCTAATCAAATTAAGGGCTAAAAAGGAAAACATTGCATGGAGGTAAATCCAATAATCCAGGAAAAACATTTTGATGTTAATTCACAGAAAGCCCACGGGCTGTAATCTCTCCATGACCAGTGACAGGATCGGCAGATACTAATCACTGCATTACCAGCCATACTAGCATTTTTAGTACTGGCCAGTATGAAAGGGATGAGATTCTGCTACATTTATGCCATTATAAAAGCATATTTGCGAGGTTATCAGTGGGCAGGACTGCTTTACATCATTTACACTTGAGAATGCAGAGGGGGGAAAAAACGGGGTACTGTGAAAACACAGCAGGACACGTCAAGTTGAGACATGGATGTAGTTGCTGTTACAGTAAAGGGTGTTAAACCATTTTTTTCCTCCATTTTTCAAAGAAAATTACTTTACAGAAAATGCCACCATGATGCAAGGCTGTTGTGGGTGGTTGTAGGTTTAACTATGAGCAACAGAGCATGAGTGGATGAATGTACGAGGGGAACAGGTCCCACCCACTTTATCCGCAGCATTTGAAGTACTTTCCCTATTATTTTTTCCCATTAGGATTAAAATAAAAAGCCTTCATTAAAGAGTTATAAGCCACAATCTAAAAAATCCAACCCAATTGCTTGGTTGAGTAAATTGGGTCAATTTATGGGTTATTTTTTCAGTGTTTGGGTAGTTGTTGTGTTACCCAGATCCTATTGATTTTGAGTTATTTATCGAGTTATTTAAGTTTTTGCGTCCTCTTCAGGAGAGAGCAATTCTAAGCGCCATCAAATTGATGCATTTCTTTGGTAAAATACGGGTTTGTGTATGTTTTATTTTATCTACAAAATCGTTACGGTGTTGGATATTGTTCAAGTTTATGCAAAGCATCATACAGGGGCGCAATGTGAGTCACCTAAACGAGTGTCACGTCGGTCTTTTTGCGTGATGGAAAGGCTGATGCTTTGCAGAAAATAAATGATTTTATTCATAAAGATACAGAATATAAATACTCTGGATGTTAAAATATGTCTTTAGAGCTGTTCACTGTTTGTTTACAGGCAGGTTATGGAGTCAGTCACAGCATATTTCGGCTATGAGTGAAACGCAGGGTGCCGGTTTAAATATAGGTAATATGTATGGCCTACATATAAAAACTATATAAAATGTGACCCTGGAGTCTTAAGTCGCTTGGGTATATTTTTAGCAATAACCAAAAAACATTGTATGGGTCAAAATTATCGATTTTTCTTTTATGCCAAAAATCATTAGGATATTAAGTAAAGATCATGTTCCATGAAGATATTTTGTAAATTTCCTACTGTAAATATATCAAAACTTAATTTTTGGTTAGTAATATGCATTGCTAAGGACTTAATTTGGACAACTTTAAAGGTGATTTTCTCAATATTTTATCATAGTTTAACAATCTCGTTGCTCAAAGTAGGTCTGTATTTAAAGGTTTTGGAGTTATGGTTAAAAATCAATTCCCCATTGAAAAAAATGAACAGGATTTTTATTTCCGGAACCCGACTTTTGCACTCTATAGTAACAGCAATGCAAACACAAATTATTATTTTCAAACAGGTTTCCCAAGCAAACCTGTCCTAATTCGCGCTACTGGTTGATCCAGAGGCTGACCTGTCAAACTACTCCAATTATGACGTGAAAATGGCATGAAAAGTTACACTGTTTATACTCAAATCAAATTAATCTGATATCACACGTTTGTGTTAGATAAGGCGTTGTTCAGTCTGACATTCTGAGGACTACAATGAAAACTGGCACATTTGTATTTTCTAATAGAGTGTGAAAATGCACATCTCTTGAGTCTGGATAGTCAGACAATTTCACCCTGATTCAGCTAACGGCATTCTGCAAAAAGATGATGCATTTTAAAAAGCAACATAACACTTTCATTACACCAAATTGAACCTGCTTTGCAAATTACACTGTGTCCATATGAGCTGACAATGTTCTGAAACACCATGTACCTGCCTTTGATTAATCATATCCTGCATAGCAAATCTGAGCAGTATTTTTGCTGCTTTGCATGAAAGGTGTGGTAGGATTACACATCACAAAGGCACATGCATGAATAAACATGGCTTTGCGTATGTGTTTGTATGTTACGCTACAACAGGTCATGCATTTTCAAAGTCTGAGTAGCAAACATTCAGGCCAACAACTACAACTGCAAAAGCCAACAAATTTGAAAGTGGCCCCAATGATTCATGCCTAGCAAACTTATCGCTCACCGTCCAGCTGTCTTGTTACTAGATGACACGAAAGCACTGTGGAATTCATGCTGAAAGTAAGAAGCCTGTGTAAAAATAAAACCTGCTTCATAACAAAACCATTTTCTTGGCTACAGAGAGCTCACGAAGAGGTGTTAGTATGTGTGTACAGTATAAACACATCACATTCTCTAAAGTCTGAGCCGAGATATCTTGAGGAGAACTGCAGGGCATCGTAAACTTCATGATGAAACTCAGTTCTTGGGAGAATCACACGAAAACAGTCAACAATGTCCTGGTTATAGTTCATCCACAGAAAAAAAAAAAATGTTTTTTTTTCCTCTCTCTCTTTTGGAACGTGAAGTCATAATTTGCGTAGCTTTTAGTATTATTTTACAATAAATAATGCACTATCCTAGTTTTTTTTCTTTTTAATTTTAGATTTAAAAAAAAAAGTTTTAAATTTGGTTGTCTTATTAATTTTTATTTTTTATATAATTTTTTATTTTTTTTAAATATTTTATTTTCATTTTATTTTAATTAGGCTGTTTATTTTATTTCATTGACTTTATTTTATTATTATTATTATTATTATTATTATTATTATTATTAATAATAATAATAATAATAATAATAATAATAATAATAATAATAATAAGACAAGCCATTTGAGCCATTTGGATATGTCCTGACCAAACTTTTTAACAGGAAGCTCGTCACTACAGGAAAGAAAATGGCACTATTTTCTGAACTTGAGAAAACATTTACTCGCACTTGTGTGCTGCAGCATTACTGTCAGATCCAATATAGTCGGCACAGCATCCTCTTTTATTTCAATGTTTCTGAAAATCCTGTGTTGA